GGGTCTCCATGCTCCAGAGAATCAGCCAGAAAGAGACAGAGAGAGAGAAGGAGAGAAAGAGAAACAAAAAAGACACAGGGACCTAAGCTCTGATGGAGCAAAGGTGCTTTAATGATTTTTATGTGAGTAGGCTGTGGTACAAGAAGTTTCTTACGACAATGATAAAGATCAGAAAACCAAACGCACAGTAACCGTTACCAAGGGAACAAAGGATAATAATGGTCACAAGGTCAGGAGACAATCCACATCTCAAGAAAGGGGGCGAGACGAAGCAGTTTTGTCGTAAAAAGAATGTTTTACTAAAGGAGACCCAAGCCTGTCTCACACAATGGCCTCAGTCCTGAGAGCTGCGTGCAGTTCTACTCGCTTCTGGCAGAAGCTGATAAGGAACAGAGGATTTATGAGAAACAGCACGTAGGAATCCTCCCGTCAAACATTCCCTGATATGGTTCCAAATTAGGAAAGGATTGCATCAAGGCTGTATATTGTCACCCTGCTTATTTAACTTATATGCAGAGTATGTCATGCGAAATGCTGGATTGGATGAAGCACAATCTGGAATCAAGATTGCTGGGAGAAATATCATGTCTGCCTCAGACATGCAGATGGCACTGCCCTTATGGCAGAAAGTGAAGAACTAAAGAGCCTCTTGATGAAAGTGAAAGAGGAGAGTGAAAAATTTGGCTTAAAGCTCAACATTCAGAAAACTAAGATCATGGCATCTGGTCCCATCACTTCATGGCAAATAGATGGGGAAGCAATGGAAACAGTGAGAGACTTTATTTTGGGGGGCTCCAAAATCACTGAAGATGGTGATTGCAGCCATGAAATTAAAAGATGTTTGCTCCTTGGAAGAAAAGTTATGACCAACGTAGACAGCATATTAAAAAGCAGAGACATTACTTTGTCAACAAAAGTCCATCTAGTCAAAGCTACGGTTTTTCCAGTAGTCATGTATGGATGTGAGAGTTGGACTATAAAGAAAGCTGAGTGGCAAAGAATTGATGCTTTTGAACCGTGGTGTTGGAGAAGACTCTTGAGAGTCCCTTAGACTGCAAGGAGATCCAACCAGTCCCTCCTAAAGGAGACTAGTCCTGAGTGTTCATTGGAAGGACTGATGCTGAAGCTGAAACTCCAGTATTTTGGCCGCCTGATATGAAGAGCTGACTCATTGGAAAAGACCCTGATGCTGGGAAAGATTGAAGGCAGGAGGAGAAGGGGACGATGGGATGAGAAATTGGTTGGATGGCATCACCAACTCAATGGACATGAATTTGGGGAAACTCCGAGATTTGATGATGGACAGGGAGGCCTGGTGTGCTGCAGTCCATAAGGTTGCAAAGAGTTGGTAACGATTGAACTGAGTGACTGAACTGAACCGATTGGACAATAAGAAATTGTCCTAATGGAGGATTAAGAAAAAAAAATCAAATATTTAAGAATCCACAAATTCATGTGTATGTGACTAAATGAATGAAACTCTATATGAGTGATTAATAGAGGAAATGGGAGGTCAGTAGAATATCAGGTAAAATGTATGGACTGAGAGAGTTAGAAAATACTCAGTGGTTTTTAAAACTAGTGATAGAAAATTGTCAGTGATCAGGATATTTATATGTTTTCAAAATATCTCCTAATTAATTATTAAATATAATAGAAAAAGTACTATATTTAAAGTCTAGAAGCCTGACAAAATTTAAGTGGCAAAAATAATCAGTTTTGAAAAATACGAACACCTTTCTCCTATACAAAACTGTGAGAAAAACGTTTTCCCTAAAAATTAAAAAAAAAGACATTTTCCCTGCAAAAAATCTTAAAACTTATTCAGATAAGTTGAAAACATTAGAGAACTAGAGGGGAAAGTTTCAAACTAGTGGGCCTGTCATGTAAAAAATGACAAGTCTAAAGAACTCAGCTGAAGGCTGAGGAACTGTTTTGTGAAAGGACTTTTATAAAGTAACATGAAAACTAAATGTAATGCATTAATTTCATTTGGTCCTACAGAAAGAAAAATACAAAGAGGAATATTGGGACAAATGATAATGTAATATGTATGTTCTTTAAATAATAGTATTGTGTCAATATTGAAATTCCTGATTTTATTACAGAACTCTGATTATGTATAAGAAGTTTTCTATGCCTAAAGGAATTATGCACTGAAGTATTCATGGTATATAGGAAAAATTTAAATTATATGCTAGTTGTTCAGAAAAAATATATATGTATATATAAACATATACATACATGTATATGATATGTGTGTGGTGAAAGAAAAAAGTAAATGCAGCAAAAGATAATTATTAAATTTGGAAAATGTGTTTACACACATATATATATTTAAAATTCTTGTGGCTTTTCTGTAAGTTGGAAATTGTATCAAAATTTTTTAAATGGAAAAATTGTTTCATGTGTTTCACTACTTAGTAAGAAATGAGATCTTTTATATAATCAACCTAAGTGAATTAAATATTTATGCAATTTCAACCTTTCTTGACATTTTTAAAACCAACTAGAAATAGAAGGAAACTTCCTTAAACTTCTAATAAGTATTAACAACCAAACCCTACCACAGACATAAAAATAAAGATTCCTTATTAAAATATTTCGCCCAAGCTCAGGGATGAAAGGATTATCACTGTATCACACAGGGGGTTCTTCAGGGGTTCAGCAGTAGGTAAAGAATCTAGCTGCAATTCAGGAGACACAGGTTCAATCACTCGGTTGGGAAGACCCCCTGGAGGAGGGCATGGCAACCCGCTCCAGCATTCTTGCCTGGAGAATCCCATGGACAGAGGAGTCTGGCTGCTACAGTCCATAGGGTTGCAAAGAGTTGCAAAGACTGAAGCGACTGAGTACATGCACATATGTATAGAGAGAAAACTGCAAAGGAAGAAATAAACCTGTTTTTTCTCATCTTGTTGTTCTGTCACTCAGTCCTGTCCAGCTCTTTGTGACCCCATGGACTGCAGCACACCAGGCTTCCCTGTCCTTCACCATCTCCCGGACTTTACTCAAACTCATGTCCATGGAGTTGGTGATGCCATCCATCCATCTCATCCTGTCGCCCCCTTCTTCTCCTGCCTTCAGTCTTTCCCAGTATCAGGGTCTTTTCCAGTGAGTCGGCTCTTCTCATCAGGTGGCCAAAGTATTGGAGCTTCAATTTCAGCATCAGTCCTTCCAATGAATATTTAGGGTTGATTTCCATTACTAAAGCATTTTCTAAAATAGCATAATCAGTTTGAGTCCTACTATGAATATCCTTTTCAGTTTTGTGACCCATGCCTACTTTTGTGTTTTACTACACTCCTGTCCTTTTCTCTTCTGCATACAACCCATCAGTATCTAATAATGTACAGTGTAATAACTTGAGCACCTCACTTATGGTCTGTTTCCCTCAACCAGGATAAAAATTTCAAGGTGGCAAAATCATTGTAATGGTTTGTGTACTGACCTAGCCTCTGCACCCCAAGAAAGGGCATGACCCACATAAGCTATAGAATGAATGTTTCATGAAGCACTCAGTGTCTCTGTAATATTCCTGTCTGTTTGAATCACAATGAAGGTCTTCCCTTCATTTTCAGTACCCCAGAGTCTCAGGCATAAAAACAACAATTATATTTTGAAGACAAGACTAACAAAGGAACTAAAAATTTCACACAGCCATGTGTACGACTTCTCCCACTTATGGGACCTCAGTGTCCTCCATTTAACTTCCACTGGGATTATTGTTCATTTTGAACAAGTGATTTCACTCCTCTGTTTCTGCCATTTCTGTTAGATACCTTTCTCACCTTAATAGCTTTGCTCATGTGCACAATTCACAGATGGTTTGCACAGATACTCACCACTCCCTTTGCAGACCTTGTCACTGCCATTACAAGTGACATGGTAATTACTTCCCAACAAGGAGATGAGGTCATAGAAACACAAAGCCTTATTTCAGGGTTGAGATGCCCCTTTTCACACCTGCACAGCTGCTGCCCAGGCATCTACTGTGCTGATGGGAAACACCAGTCAGGTAAGTAGTGATGTGTTTCAGGTAAGTGTCAGATTTTGAGACAAACTTCATTAGAAAATTCAGTCATCCATATGGAAAAAAATTCTGTTTTGGGGGATTGGAATATAAAACTATACACACACATGTAATACAGACACATTCAGGACAGATTTTTAATTTTTTTCTATTTCATATTGAAGTATAGTTGATTTATAGTGTGCTAGTTTCAGGTGTACAGCAAAGTGATTCAGTTATACATATACATATATTTTTCAGATTCTTTTCCCATTTAGTTTATTACAGAACACAGTAGAGTTCCCTGTGCTATACAGCAGGCAGGATAGGCTTTTTCCAGGATACCCTCAGCATAGTGCTACCCTCATTCACCTGTATTGAAACCACCTGCCATCTCTCTTTCTCCTTTGTCTCTGACTCAACATAGGAAGCCTCACAGTTTTCACTGTCATGGTTTCATGCTACAGGCAAATGGCCAAAAATAAGATAGAGAAGATGAGCTCCCAGCAGCTGAGCTGACATCTGGTGTCTGTGTTTTGTTTTGGGGCGGGGGGAGAGAGTATGTTGGGTTAAAAGCAATCTGTCTTAATATGCCTTTAAAGTTCTATTCTAAAAAATAATAATAAAGTTCTGTTCTTATTAGATTAAAGTTAATATTTATTTAGAGAAAAGTAAGGTTCATTTCATCTCCAATGTCAGGGAAATTATTTAAAGAAACGTGTGGCTAACTATTGTGTTTGACAAGAAGTTATAGGGACATGTTGGATGTTTTCTGCCCCACACCAGAAGCATTATATCTCTTCAAGATATTTTACTATTAGCAAGAAATGGCTTTAGATATCATAATCTTGGTATTTTAGGTGGTTGTTACCACAGATTTTTTTAAATTGAAGTATAGTTGATTTATAATGTTGTGCTAATCACTGCTGTACAGCAAATATATATATATATTTTTTTTTTCACTATGATTTATCGTGGGATACTGAATATAGTTCTCTGTGCTATACAGTAGGACCTTGTTTATCGATTCAAAAGCTTACATTTGCTAACCATAGATGTGTTCAGTGTCTAGAAAGACTCAGTGCGGCGGGGGGAGGGGGGAAGAAACATGTCTTAAAATTAGGTACTATTAATATATGCCTTATTTCTTTGAAAAATGTATAGGAATTTGAGTTTTCATTTAAAATATTTGTATATTCTTTTGCCTTATGATGAAAGTCTTATTTGCCAATTATATTAATACACTTTGCATATGTTTGTAATAATTAATGCCAAATAACTGGCAAAATGTGAGTATGGACAAATGTTTAATATATCTTATTTTCATTTTTTTTCATTATTTTCACTTTTATTTTCATATATGCCTCTGTGTAACTTGCAGTTTTTTTTTTTTTTACAAGTATACATAGAACATTGTGCTGATGGGCAACCAGGGAGATTTTTTTCATTTGAATCTTGATATCTAATTTTGATTAATATTTTTCAACAATTATGTGACATATTTATATGTGTAAAACTCCTTCACGAAGCCTAGTTTATCCTTGTATCCTGTGAAATCTTTGCCTCGATTTATATTCCCCTACTTTCTTAAAAAGAAAAAACTGGAAACATATACATGTTTTGTATCTTACATTTTTCTTCTCAGGGTGTATTGTGGGGAAGAGCTGTATCAGTACGTAGATAACTCCCTCACACATCTCTGCAGCCTCAGAGCTTCCTGTTGGCAGTTTGGCCACTTCCACTCACACAGCAGGTGACTTCATGATTGTAGTCTTCACTTCTATTGCCTTTGCACACATGAGCAAAAATTCTAAGTGCCCACTTAACTAATGTGAGATTATACAAGATGCAGGCTTAATGTTGAAAACTGAGGGACATGGTGATTATGACACACTTCTTTTCATCCTTTTAACTCCTCATTCCTCTAACTTCAGTAAAATGAGTGCCCTCTAGGCACTGATGTGATGTTTTCTGCCAGCTTGGAAATGGGGACTATATTTCTCATTCAGACAGGAATTGGCCTCATGGGAAATATCTCCCTCTTTTGTCTTTATAACTTCACTTTGCTCACTGGACATAGTTTGAGACCCATAGACCCAATCCTCATGCAACTGGTCATCGCCAATGCCATGGTTCTTTTCTCTAAAGGCATACCACAGACACTGGCAGCTTTCGGATGGAGGTATTTCCTGGATGACACTGGATGTAAACTTGTCTTCTATTTCCACAGAGTAGGCACGGGAGTTTCCTTTAGCACCATCTGCCTCTTCAATGGCTTCCAGGCCATTAAGCTCAAGCCCAGTATCTGGAGGTGGATGGAACACCAGATGAGAGCTCTAAGATTCATTGCCTTCTGCTGTTTCCTTTGCTGGATTGTGCATATGTTGATAAATTCATGTATTCTTATAATAGTAAATGGTCCACTGAATGAGAAGAACTTCAGTATGAGAAATAATTATGGATACTGTTCTTGGCATATGATAGAGGGTTCTGTAGGCGCATTATACACAATCATGTATTTTTCCCTTGATATTACAAGTTTAGGTTTTATGGTTTGGGCCAGTAGCACTATAGTTCTTTTCCTGTGCAGACACAAACAGCGAATCCAACACATTTGCAGCAATCGACTCTCCCCAAGACCTTCCCATGTGGTCAAAGCCACAGGCACTGTCCTGATCCTGGTAAGCGCCTTTGTTACATTCTATACAATTTACATTGTTTTGACAATTTGGTTGACTCTAGTTGCAACCCGAGGGCAGTGGATGGTGAACACCTCTGTCCTTTTGGCCACAAGTTTTCCAGCATTCAGCCCCTTTGTGCTCATTATCAAGGACACTCGTATCTCTCAGTTCTGCTTTGCCTGTAGGGCAAGGAAAACAGTTTGCTAAAGTGATTGTCATTCTATGAGTCTGTTCTCAGTGGCATTCAAATATTTATCTCAACATCTGTGAATGTTTTGGGGACCTCTTAAGTGCTGGATATTAATTAACCCTAAAAGGAAATATAGTATCAGTTTCTAATGGCCAGCATTATTTAAATAATTAAAACTTATTTTCATCAGCTGTTTTCACTCAAATAATTTCAAATTTTTCTGACTTTAAATACTGATAGCTCTTTTTTTTTTTAAAGGTCTATTTCTCTCTGGATAATTGAGTGTGCTCTATTTTTTAAAGTCTTACTCAATTTTTGTAATTGGAAATACCAGCAATTTTAGTGAAGTCTAGATATAATGTATATACATGTGTAAATATCTATATTGAACTGCCAATAGCATTTATTACATACCTAAATTATGAGTCTTTAATCTTACTTAATTCCAAAATTATCAAATCTATTTTATTGTTGTTTTTTAAAGTTAATGTACACATGTTCAGTGATTTCCTTTGCTTATTTTAAAGTCTGTGAGAAAACTATCATTTATTTTATACTACTTTTTTTAACATTTAAAAGCAGTATGCTGCAGTCACTCACTTCACTCGTGTCCAACTCTTTGCGACCTATGGACTGTAGCCCACCAGGCTCCTCTGTCCAGGCAAGAATACTGGAGTTGCCATGGCCATGGCCTCGTCCAGGGGATCTTCCCAATCCAGGAATTGAACCCCTGACTCTGGTGTCTCCTGCACTATAGGCAGTTTCTTTGCCCATTGAGCCACCTGGGAAGCCCATTAGCACACTAAGACCCTCTAAACCTTGTTCCCATTAGCTCATGGTATCAGAATATGGAGAAGCAAACCTACAGATCTGTCTCCTGACTACCTTCCTAAGGCATGTAACTGGTCTGTTATCAACTGCGCACAGGCTTCCTGAATGCATGGTCTCTCCAGCCCTGCAGAGCCCATTAAACTGCTGCTGTAAGCGACACATGCAGTAAGCAAGGGCATCAGTATAAAGACAAATGCTCACTGAAATGTCAGAGCAGCATTTCACATACTCCCATAAAGCACAGGATATGAGCGAAGTGAAGAACAGAACCAGAAGAAATCGTGTCCTAGAGCAGGGCTGGTAGGCACTGTGAGTGGGCTGTGCAGTAGTGTCTTGTGTGTGTGTTCGTGTGTTAGTCACTCAGTGGTGTCCGACTCTTTGCGACCCCATGAACTATAGCCTGCCAGGCTTTCTGTCCATGGAATTCTCCAGGCAAGAATACTGGAGTGGATTGCCATTCCCTTCTTCAGAGTGTCTTATACAGGAATTATTAATTTGCATGTCATAGGTCCAATTTATAAACAATGATGTTCTGTCCTTAATCATGTCGGACTCTTTGCAACCCCATGGACTGCAGCACACCAAGACTCCCTGTCCTTCACTATCTCCCGGAGTCTGTTGAAACTCATGTCCATTGAGTAGGTGATGCCATCCAATCATCATCCTCTGCAGCCCCCTTTCCTTTTCCAATCAGTTATAAACAATGATCTCTATTAAATGTTAACCTGGAAAAAAAACGATACTGATTTGTGTTTTTCTGTTGACCATTCTTCTATATTTTTTCATTCTTTTATTTTTAACGCAACTTTCTTGATCCTTGTATTGATAACTCAGAAGAGAGCCCACCTCTTGTTGTTAAGTGGCGTGCAATAGGAATCTTTAATATCTTAAATTAGGTTAATAGTTTTTTAAAAAATAAGCTATCTCACAAATACCATTAACATCCACATACTCTATCCTCCTTTGTATCAGTTTATGCAGTTTTCAGAAAGTTTGAAGAATTCACACCATTCTTGACACTTGTACAATTACTAATATTGTGTCCAAAATACATTAAGTTTTCCCTATCATTTCTGTTCATTTGGTCCTTTCCACCTCTCTAATAACATATCCCTATATTTGGTGACCAGGGTAATCGGGAGGGAGAAATAGGGGGAAGAATGGGAATTCCTAGAACACAGGCTTTGTTGGGGTTTCTGCATTAAAGGCAAGACAGGGCTGGGTTAAAAGCCTTTTTCCTAGTCATCTGGTTCCTGGCCCTGGGTTGATTTAGGACAGGAGAAACAATCGCATGCGTGTAAGTGGAAGGTGGCAGAGCCCTGAATCTACACTTGAATGGTGTGCTCCAGGGAGGCTATTTATAGTAGAAACACAACTCATTGGCCCTGTGATCAGTTGCTGCCAAACTGACAGATACAGAATCTAAGAAAGTATCCATTAGAGAAGAAGAGAAGGACCATAACTCCAGGTGAAAGGAGTTTTTACAGGTCGGCCCATAATTAGGTTTACTCTTTTTTATGGCATTAGCCAAGAAAACATCTGTAATTTGGGGGATCAGTAATATTATCTTGGTAGAGTTGTAAAGAATACAAAAATGGTGAGATCTACAATAAATCTTGGTTTATGTCTCAAGGGAAGTTTGTAGGCCCAGCAGTGGTGTTGTGGGAGGGTGAAAGATGATGATTTAGTAAAGTTCATGTAAAGATTGGTGATATTTGGGTTTAACTAAGGGGAAGGAGTGGTCATGGTCGGAGATACAGAGCAGGAAAGTGTGGTGTAAATGGAGGGGCTGGCAGGAGAAGGCACTCGGGACTAAGTATTCCTCTGCCCAAGAAGTAGAGGGGTTGGTTGATCTGAGTCAGGTGCCTCCTGTGGAAATCATTAATCTCTACTAATATTTAGAATGGCACTGGAACTTTCCTGGCGGACTTAGTGGTTAGGCCACTGTGCTTCCACTGCAGGGGACAGGGCTCCATTGCTAGACCTAGATCCCATATGACACAATTAAGATTCAGTGCAGTTAAAATTTCTCTCCAAGATTTTCATCGAGGTAGTCATATAGACAAAACATGTAATAAAATAAAAACTAGGCACTGTGCCAACGCTCTTTCAACATTTTGACTATAATCATGCCTCCGTTTATACGTTGCGAATCCTGAGTTTAAGGCCTCTTCTTTTACTCCATTAACCGTAGGCTTTGCTCTTATCTTTAATGCATTTCATCCTTGTCTGCCCTCAATACCACTTAGCTAATTTCTGGATATTACGATGCACCGACCATCCCTGCAGATGCCGCCATGATGCAAACACTTCCCAGACTGACAGGCTCAGTAGGTTGCAGACGGCGTGGGGGATGAGCTAAAGACCAGAAGAGTAGCATTTCCGAGAGCGTGCAACGTGTCGGTGTGGGACTTCCGGCATCTTGCACATGGCGGTTATTATGACTGCTTTTGATACCATTCGCTGGACAGGGATTCGAGGTCACTTAAAATGGAAGAGAGGAAGAGGTCCCCACTGCACAGTGGTGGGTCTGACGTTCACTGTGGGCGCTGCGGAGCATCCCCGGTGTCCTGCTCGGGTCCACCCTTTATCTCCCGGGTAGCCCCGGCACTGCTCCGCCCACACCTTCCCACGGCCGTGCTGAAGGCCCAGGCCCAGGTGAACGTCGGTTATCCAAACCCTCAGCCTCAACCCTACTTAAAAACGAAGGGTGTCCAGCTCGGGCTATAGGAGTGCATGCCTCTGTTTCCAAAACAGCCGGGCAGTTATAGATATAGGGTCCCCAGTTCTGACAGGGAATGATGAAATGTGGAAGAGTGTTACAGGCAGCGGGACACGCATATTCAAAGCCTTGGAGGTACACGTCAGTCAAGAGCATTCTGGAAACCTGGGTTCCCGCTCGTGTCCGCAGGAAGCAGTGTGAAAGGAGGCACACCGGGATAGCAGTCCGAGCAGCTGGCTCTTCAGTAGGGGGCTCCTGGGAATCATATTGGAAGAGAGGAGGGACTCTGAGCTGTGGTTTTCAAAGTATTTGAGAAGTTGTTCCGGGCGAGCAGACTGCGAGGGACAAGGCATGATGAAAGTGGAGGCGGGGAGGTGGGGGGCAGGGGGGGGACCGGAATGGGGAACACATGTAAATCCACGGCTGATTCATGTCAAGGTATGGCAGAAACCACTACAATATTGTAAAGTAATTAGCCTCCAACTAATAAAAATAAATGGGGGAAAAAAAAAGAAAGTGGAGGGGGAAAACCAGTGACAAGGCCACAGGAGGGCAGTTCTGGCGGTGGACAGTTCTAGAAGTGGCAGTAGCCTGGAGATTAATGCAGGTTCTTGATGGATCTTAATGATCGAAGTAAATAACCACCCAGATATTTTGCCCAAACACCTAGGAGAATGGAGATGGGGAATTTGGTGGGAGAAACAGGATTCAGGGAAGATTATGAGTTGGATTTTGGATAAGGGGATTCTGAGATCCCCAAAGTGAAGGTGGCACATAGGCAACTGGATTCCAGGTCTGGAGTTTTGAGGAGGGACCCTGAGGCCTGGACCAGAATCAAGCCTGGTGCTCAGAGTGGGAGACCAGGTTTCACTGTCAGATGGATCCTGAAGAGGAATGTGGTGAAGGGCAGAACTGAACTGAGTGTGGCTCCCTCAGGCTGCCTCTAGTGGGGAGGAGTACTCTGGTACAAGAAGAATCTGCCAGAGGGGAGAGCAGGAGGAAGTAAAGAGCCATGCCTGGAATGGAAATATTGTTGGGAAATGTGGATGTTCCTGTTCTCAGTATTCTCAACACTCCCTGTAAACAAGGGAAAGGTCAGCCAGGCTCGCGGAGCAGCCTGGGCCCAGTTATGAACAGAGGGGCCTCGGCTTGCTCAGGAAATTTCAAATTTAGAACTGGCTGGACTTAAGGCTATCCAGGCACTTAGTAGTTGATTGAAATTGGTTGCAAAATCCACAGAGGATACCAGTTTTGCTTTTTGGAACTTTCTGGGATTTTTAAATATTTTTGATCCATGGTTGCTTGACTGCAGATGCAAAACTGGTAGATATTCAAAGGACCAAGCATTTTTATTAAATATCACATTTTCTTAAATGCTTAAAAGGCAGATAAGAAGTACCCAAATTTTAAAAAACTCATCACTTTATTTACACCAAAGTCATTTCCTTAAGTGTTAATCCTGTGGGCAGAATTAGCTCACCTTTACTATTTTTTAAAGACATACATAAATTTGCTGCTTTAGCCATCTCTAAGTACATTCTTTAAAAGTATAAAGTACATTTATGTTGTTCACAGGATTCACCCATGTTGTGGCAGTTATCAAAATTTCCTTCCTTTTTATGAATAATATTCCAGTGTATGTATACAACAC